GTCTGAGGGACAGCAACCCGGCCCTAGGCTCAAAAAGGTTGCCTACCCCTGGTTTAGATTATATGCTTCTCTAAGGCAGGAAAAAGGACCTTGGCAATGTACTTTATACTGAGTCAGGGCATTTGCCCAACTAACTAGTATTTTCATTTCTGAATGGTGACAGACCTCCAGGGGTTTGGTGGAAGGTCTTTCTTAGTCTTATCTGAAGATCCTGTATAAATACTAACCAATCCAGAATCTACTTAGCACTCTCAGTCAGAGGAAATCAGGTGTATTCAGGGTGCTGTGGTGGTACTGAACTTCACAACACTTTTACTAAATTGACTCTACAATATTAACAAGGAAATTTAAACAATTTCACCTCAGAACTGGCTGCTTGGTTTCAATTAAATGCAAAATGTTTGGAAAGAGTGAGAAGAAAATCACAGCCAATGCAATTCTGGCTTCACCAAAAAGCTGTGTTATGACATGTTTCTGAACTGCTGGAAATGTAAAATGGCTGCCTCATTTCCCAGTTACTGGGGTCTGCCTAGTGGACAGCATATCTGCAGAAAATTATACACAGAGGGATATATTCCTTTAGCAGCCACTTCATCTTACAGCAGGCCTACAACTGTAGTACTTCATAGACTGGAGCATCCGCAGCTCACCACATCCCATATTATTCAATGGCATAATGGGCATACTGATAGCCATGTGCACTTGTTGCCAGCCATTGAATAATATGGGGTGTGACTATCCACATTTTTTTCCCATGGAGGGAGACATGTCCAGAACTCAGCTCCCACAGATGGGAAGGGTCCACTGTATTTGAGAAAAGCAGTGTCAAATTTCTCTCCAAGTAAACGGTGGCAATTGAAGATGTCTTGTTTAAAAAATAAAGTCATAGTCCAATGCTTAAACCACTACACAACCACTCCCTGGTAAATGTGGTGAACAATCAATAATTTTTTTGGAAAAACAAAGTTGGGTGAAAACATTGTGTGCCGTCTTCTGGTCCTGACTGATCTCCTGACCTGAATCAGGTCCCAATCTTTCCTGCAAGATGTTTTCAACTGTTAATGAATGTAAACCCCTGGGAGTTTGGTGTTTTGTCAAAATCTAAGTGGCAGCATAAGGATGCTTCTTTAAAAGCTGCCTGCAAGCTTCCTGTTCCAGGTTTAAAACTGGTGGTGAGAAGGACTTGCTGAGGGTGCATCTACACTGTAGAAATAATGCAGTTGGCACCACTTTAACTATCATGGTGCCATCCTGCTGAAACCTGGGATTTGTAGTTTTGTGAGGCAACAGCTCTCCTTGGCTGAGAAGGCAAAAGATCTTGTAAAACTACAAATCCCAGGATTCTGCAGAGTGGAACTGCAGCTCTCAAAGTGGTATCAAACTGCATTATTTCTGCAGTGTAGATGCACCCTGAATAACATGTTAGGGAGGACGTAGGTTAGAGGTTTTTTGGACTACAACTCTTAGAATTGTAGAGGCCATGCTAGCTTAGCAATTCTGGGAGTTATCGTCCAAAAATAACTTTTCTAACCTCTGCTCTACCACAAGGCTAGGCAATCTGGTTCTTTCCAATTCTTACCAGAGCAGCAGTCCTAATCACTGGGCTGTCTTTTGCTCTATGGATGCATGTGGTAAGTTGCAGTTCCTGCAAACGAAACACACTTTTCCTTGCAAATTGAATGGTGTCACTCTGCTTGCTAGGAACATGTCCTTACAGTCTTCCTGTAGCTGCTTCTAAATGCTAGAAAGACATATAAGAAATTATGCTAGAGGAATTCAAGGTGGAGGCATCCTCTTTCTGCCTTTGCCAGTGCAATGCTGGACCCTTTGAGTAATACAGCTGCACTGTGCTGCAGTCACCTGTCCTTTAGCATAGTGGAGCCATCAAGGTGTTGCTCCTCCTTGCTCTGGCCCTGGCCCTGGCCCTGCTGCCTAGTTCAGGTGAGTGGAGGCCTTGTTCAGCTCCTCACACCACATTCTGTGGGCTGCTGCCTCTTAGAACATCTGTTTTAAAGCTGAGCTTGAAAGATGCCGGATGTGTGAACATTTTTATGTTTGCTTTAGTGCCAGAACAGAAAGCAAATCTTTGAACTAATGCATGTGACATGCTAGCTTTCATGCTATTGCGAACTGCTTGCATGTGTAACCCAGTCTCTGCTTTTCTTTTTAGTGATTTAACAGGATCATTCCAGTAAATAGTTTATATCTCTTTTTTATATCACTACATGCCTCTGGTATGGAAGACAGATTTACAGTGCTGTTGTTTGCAAAGTCAACCCCTTTGTGTTCAGTAGGTAAAGCATCCATATGATTGCACTCTTAGAATGACATTAATGCAAGGCTGCAGTTTCATGCACATGTTCTTGAGTTTGCCCCTGATGTGAGCAGAACTTGTTTCAAAGTAAATCTGTCCCAGGTTTCAGTTGTAATTTAAGTATTTTCTGCAAAACAATACTGAGTTCCATGAGAGTTATTTTATAAGCTCACACACATCAAGTTAACTTATTGTTCAAAGATATAGCCATGTTAGTCTGTAAAATCAGTATGTGGAGAGATCTTGTAGCATGAGCTTTCATAGATTAAAGTCTACTTTCCTATGTATCTGAGAAAGCAGACTTTAGTCTATGAAAGCTCATGCTGCCAACTTCTTTCTTTCGTTAGTCTCAAAGGTGCTACAAGATCTCTCTACAGACTAATTATTTGTAATTCACACCAGAACAGAGTCAGAAGTGGAACTTGGCAGGCAATTGTTAATAAACTGAAAAATCTGATTCTAACTAGTTATTTAAAGCATCTTAATAATAGCAATATGTTATGTGTCATAGCATGGAAATAAAAAGGATGACAGTGTAGGATCTGCAGTTAATCTTGTTCTGGTAAAACATCTATAAAGGGATTCAGGTGTACTGTATTATCTCAATTTAGTATGGGATAGCCTCCTTGGATCTTTTCCTGGGAGAAAGGCAGCATATAAATAAAGTGAATAAATAAAAATAAATAAATAAAATTGCAACCAACTGCTTTAATTTTCTTTACTTAACTGTAGAAATGTTCTGGATGCCTATGGGTAAACTGCAATTTACTCTGTTGTTTCCCGTACTCTTCTCTGTCCCTCTCCCTAACAGTAAATCAAAAGTTTTTTTTCTCTATCAGTGCTGAAAAAGCCATGTAGAGTTTGTTGGACTCTCCATAAATGGTTAAGTCATTCCTGAGTTATAAGTTTTATTAGAAGGAGTGAAATATGTGTGTAGCTCATATGCTGAGATTCATGTGAGCAATCTGCAATATGAGGAGGTCAGGAGTGGACAACTTTGTGGTCTTCCAGATGTTGTTGATGTGCAGTTCTCATCATCCCTCACAACTGGCAGTGCTAGCTAGAACTGATGGGAGTTGCAATTCAGCAATATCTGCAGAATCCTAGATTTCCTATTCCTTCCTTACAGTTTTCCAGTATATGTATGTGCTGAGGATTATTCATGATTATTTATCCCATAATCTATACAAAGTTTGGCCAGCCTTGCTGTTGACATATAGCTACATTTCTAAATGTATGTAGAAAGGCATGTCCTGCTGGCATATGGAATTAGCTAAATGCATGCAAGCAGGACATGTCTTTTTGTATATCTTTTTCTACCTGGATGCCCTTTCTGTATTGGAAACATGGAATGTAAGAAATAGCCCTTGGTAAGGCATTTTTGATCTCTTAACTGTAGATAACTCTTGAAGAAAACATTTAGATATATAGAGTTCCTAGCAATATTAGAGAAACCTCCCCCCATTTTTCATAATTAAAGGTTAGAGTCACAAGCCACACTTTTAGTGTTCTAAGTCCAGTTTGATAGTCATGGTATGGAAAGCAAGCATTACATCCTATGGCTAGAGAAGGCACAAAGCCAAGCATTATTTGCCAGGAAGTTTCCATAATGATGACTGATCTCCAGAATCAAAAGGTGTTAGGAAGCAAATGATGAAGAAGAAGAATAGGAGTGTGAGATTAAGACATAGTCTTGAAAAAAACAATAGGAGACTCAAAAAATCTATTAGTAGACAGAGAATATCCGACAAAGCAGATCTGGAAATAGCACAGAAGGAAGTACTGCTATATTTGTATAGAAGGAAGGGATGAGAATGAAGAATGACTTCATCTCCATGACAGTGTTCCCCGGGGAGATGGACTGTAAGGATGACTTCCTTATGCCTTTTTCATTGCCTTTTTGCACTTGCTACTGAAGATGCCTTCAGACAAAGCTTTTAATGTAAAATCATTACGCTTCCTTCAGAAAGCCCAGATGACCTTGTAAGCCAATTGCAATCAATCCATAGTTTCCAACCACTTCTGACTTTCCCTTGTTAATGCAGAAAATGCATCAAGGATGGAAAGAGAAGAATAGTCGACCCAAGCTCTTTACAAGTATGAACAGGCAAATGCAAGACTGAGACAAAGTGGGGAAAATAAAAGTGTGTGTGTGTGTGTGTGTAAGGGAAAAAAATGGAATGTGCTGGAACTGTAGCTAACTAGAACACTGAATAGCAGCATTCTACACTCCGACATTTTGTTACGAGTAGCACCTAATATCACATAAATGTAATCTTCAGGCTTCAAATATATATTCCCCAATAGGAAAATGTTAATATGTTAGACATTCATGTAATACTACTTGTGAAAATGTTTTTCCTGCATGTTTGCACGTGAACTGTTATCATCACAAAGATTTGAAAATTAAATGCCACTTTAATGCTGTAGTGATGTCTGAATAAAACTTTGTCATTCTTGAATTAATTATTCTTGAGTTGTGATGTTCTGGAAATGCCACATTAGACAGAGAAAATGCAAAAGTCATGGAGTAAGAGGAAGAATAGGAAGGCAGAGGAGAGAATGAGGCAATAAGAAAAACAAGGCAGCAGGGACAAAGAGAAAGTGGGATGGCAAAAATAACAGTGAGAGGTGTAGGGGAATGGGAGAGTGTGTGGATATCAGGATGAGTAGGCTGTGCAGAAGAGCCAATGTGGTGTAGTGGTTTGAGGGTTGGACTATGACTCTGGAGGTTAGAGTTCGATTCCCTGCTTGGCCATGGAAACCTACTAGGTGACCTTGGGCAAGTTATTCATTTTCAGCCCAGAAAACCCTGTGATAGGTTTGCCTTAGGGTTGCCATAAGTCAGAAATTACTTGAAGACACACAACAACACAACAAGTATATACAGACTGGTTCTGTATACTGTGTATCTGAAGGGCATTAAATTATCATGCAATTACTCTTAACCATATGAAGGTGTAACTGATTTTGTTACTTTACCTTACACATTTTAGATTGCCTGTCCAGCTAGGCAGTGGACCCTTGTTTTTTACTAGGGTTTGATTCCAGAATCCCCCAGAGATACCAAAATCTATGCATGCTGAAGTCCCATTAAATACAATGGCTTAATAAAATAGTGTCTCCTATATAAAATGGCAAAATTACGGTTTGCTTTTTGGAATTTATATATTTTTTAATATTTTCAAACTGTGGATGGTTGAATTGGTGGTTAAAGAATCCGTGGGTACAGAGGGCTGATTGTACACTGCAGTGGCAGTTGGTGGCGTCCATGTCAGTGAGGTGGTAAATTTCTCTGGGCTGTACCCTGAACTTTAAGGGAGCTATTCAAGGTGCTGACTCCTCATAAGTTAAGCACTGCTAGTAGCTAAAGTTGGCTCTGTGTAGCCACAGATTCTTTATCCATGGATTTAACCATCCACGGCTTGAAAATACTTTATATAAATTCCAAATAGCAAACTTTGATCTTGCCTTTTGTATAAGGGACACCATGTTACTATAACATTATATTTAATTGGATTTGAGCAGCCCTGGATTTTGGTATCCATGGGGAGTCCTGGAACTAAACTCAAGTGGATATCAAGTGCTCACTCTACTTTAAAGTTCAGTCTCCAAACTGGAGTGGATTCCCCACCCCACTGACAAGAGAGCTGCCACTGATACCTCAAGACCTAGCTTCTGTAGTCAGCCCTCCATATGCATAGATTCCACATCCATGGAGTCAACTGCCCAGGGCTTGAAAATATATAAATTTCAAAAGGAAACCTTGATTTTCCTATTTTATGTCAAGCATACCATTTTTCTATGCAACTGTATTTAATGGGATTTGAGCATCCACAGATTTTGGCATCCACAGAGGGTCCTGGAACCAAACCCCAATAGATACCAAAGGCCCACTGTATTTTAATTTCAGGCACGCAGAGTTACTGTTTCAACCCATTTTAAGCAAGAGCCCTAATTGTAAAATCTCTGTAATTTCTCATTCCTGCAAGAAGTTACCATTGTGAAATCATTTGTTTGTTTTGTCCTTTGTTCTTTGGTTTTGTTCTCATCCTGACTGAATGGGTAGCCAAACTTTTATCAAGCAGCATTTTTCCCACAGCACAACATAAGCTGTTATTCAAGGTTAACCACCCAGAGGAAAAACAGACAAAAGAAACAAACAGAATAGGGGGGCATGGTTATGTTATCTGTCTTCTCCTCCACACAGCTTTCCCTGCTTTTCAGAATCTGTCCCCATTTCCCCCTCGCTTTTTAACTTTTGTTATCATACTGCTCTGCTGGTAATGATGAACTACCATTGCCAGACTTCACTGTTACAGGATTCTGGGAGTTATAATCTAAGAACTAAGAGTTATAATCTAACTCTTCCAAGCTCTGAGTGTGCCAGAAAATCAAAATTTGGTCATATCAAAGACTTGAGTCTTGTTTTCTTTCTTCCCATTCCTTTTCTTATTCCTCCCTTAGAGCCACTTCCTCTTAAGTTTGCAAAGGGTCATCTAGCACCTTTGAGATTAATTGTGTGAAAGATGTTGTGGCATAAGCTTTTATAGAGTTGTTGGTCCACTTCCTCCATGCATCTGAGGAAGCAGGCCAAGTTTATTTTCTCAATAAATTTCTTAGTCACTCCCACTTTTTCCCAGGGCAGGTCACAGCAACAAAACAATGTAAGAAGCAGGTTAATCAGAATCACATTATACAAATACAAATACAAACTTTTCCAGAATAATAACATGTGGACAATAATAATTATAGATTAGATAAATTTACAACGTCATTAGCATCTTTCAAACATAAACACAAATCCTACAAAAAAAAAAAAAAAGAAGAAGAAGAGAGAGAAAATACAACAAAACATCACATCTAGTAACCATACAATTACTACAACTATAGTAATACCACTTCCCACTAGTTTCTCTGGCTTTCTGGGATTTGATATTATTTCATCAACTTCTGAATAAATGTAAATTCCATCATGTTATTACAGCATGTCAAAACTAAAATGTTACTAGCAGTGTTCTAATAACCAATATTGCTATACTTTTGTTTTATAAACCTTTAAGTTTTCAAAACTTTATCATGATATCCTAGCACCAAACCCCAATTTTTATCTATACTTTCAGTAGATTTATGATTTACATATGTGTTTAATTTATACAACTCAACCATTTCTGTTAGCTTTAAGAGCCACTCCTCAATAGTTGGTAGTTGTATTGTTTTCCATTTTTGCACTAGCAAAATTCTGGCTACCGTAATCATGTATAAAAGCAGTTTCCAATATTTTCATTCATCATTTTTTGAAATCTTATTTATCATGTTTAATAGCTAAATCTCTGGTTTAATTTGGTAATTAATGTTTAACACTTTACATATATGATAATGAATTTCCCCTCAATATTTCTTAACCCTAGGACAATTCCACCACACATGAAACACAGGGCCTTTGCAGACTGCCAGAAATA